TAAAGAAAACAGCTGCAACTGCAATATCAGATTGCAAATTCAATGCAAGAACGATTACGTAAAATTGAAAAAGCGATTACAACTCAGTAGATATAATGTTAAAAAATCGTATTGACACATCTTTAGAAAAATATATACAATTGCACCTTTATTACCTCATCTTTGATTTGCTCATCGCTAGTGTTGTTAAGTAGATCGTGAATAGTGGTACGAATCTCTTGGGCCTGATTCTTGCCGGTCTCGCAGACCCACACAATAAATACCAAATGTCCAATGTAATATGCTAAGGTCATTAAAAATGTATCAAATAGGTGTTTATCAAAACTAATAAGTATCCCATTATTTTGCCAGCGTATTATAAAGAAATACAATTCAAAAGTAGTATTAGAAAAGACTATGACCATAGTAGCAAGGAGTTGCCCACTGAAGATTATATTTAGCATTTGCACTGCATCGCTAACCATTAAATGCCGTTTTTTTAGAGCTTTGAGTTCTGTTATTAGCAAAAATTGATTTCTCTGTAGGTGACTGATAAATGTGGGGACACATGATTTTGTGTCGTTTACCACGAGCCTTTGCATGTGCCCCAGATTATCATTAATGTCTTTGAAACAAGCTTTTAATACACAAACACAATTTATATACAGCATACTTGTCTGAAATATCAGCATGGTGTAATATATTAATAATACCGTGTTCAGGATATGCGAATAGTCAAATGTTTTAGAAAAATATACGCTTATTTGCACGATTATGGATACAGTACTGAAGATATCCTTGATATAGATCAATTTGGATAAGTTTTGATATGACTTTGAGGATAATTTTAAAGAGATATTCAAAATAGTCTGCAGCAAATGCATTTGTGGACCACTCAAGACATGCGTAATGATCAACATGAAATTGCTGCATATATAGTAACAGAGAATCTCAAGAATCCTGGTCACGTTTAAAGAATTGGTTGTAGAAATCAAATTGTAAATGGTTGTCAGGTTGTAAATGCAGCTAACACAGACAATCACGGTGGACAGGATGTAGCGTGGTCTTGAAATCTCAAAAGTCGAACCATTGATCTTGTATGGAAACGTTCCGAGAATGCGGCAAATGATAAAACAGGGATACATTAAGGATTGAAAGTCCGTGGCGTGACAGAACCACTCTCTTCTCCACATTTTGTCTTTGAAATCCTTGAATTTTCAAACTGAACACGATTAATAGAAATTTATGGGAGAAAAACAATCTGTATCATAATCTATATCCTAATTGTTACTAATCACTTTAAAATTAATCTAGATATGATTGCAAACATTTTTTTTAATGTAATTTTCAAGTTTGTTTCTTCGTAACAAATATGTAAACTGATATTGAATCTTTTTTTGTTTCATCTACACTCGTTGAATTTAAGTTTAAAACTGCAAGAAATGCTGCATAAAAGAAAAATTGAAAAAACCGTTTGTTAGTCATAAAGTAACCATGGCATTTTTCGATCGGCATTTATCATTCTTTCATAAAGAGATGAATTGCATAAAGAAATGCTGTATAATTGTTGCAACATATGACTCAACAAATTGTATGTGTTTATAGGAAGCATAGACTGCATCCGTATAAATCAATAAGTCTAATAATAACGGATCCATTAACATATATAACGATTGTCAGAATTTATTATTCTCTTTCTTTTCTTTCTTTTTCATTGATATCTATATTACAGGATGTTACATAACATATTGTGTAAATTAAAGATTTATATTTCTAATATAAGTTGAAATGAAAAAGCTATCTCTTATTTTTTTATTAATATATCTACTTTTGTATAGGTAAATTATTCATGTATTGTGGAATACAGATTTTTTATCGCAAGAATGTGACGTAATTAAGAATTGTATTAATATCAACATGTACGTTGTGATGCTGCCGGACATCTAAAAACAAAATAAGAAACATAAACAATGTATATATATATAT